AGTTCTAAAAAAAAAAACAAGTGGAAATGTTCATCTTTATTTTATCTGAATTGCTCTTTTGCTATAGATTTAGCTCTGTGAGTCTGCATTATAAGTGTAGTTTACAACTGCATTCAACAAGATCATTCTATTTTGTTGGGAATAGTGTCTTTATTCTATTATGATAATGAGCAATTAGTGGTCTATGCTGTGTTGGAGGAATCATCTGTGATTGTAGACACAAGTGACCAAAACGGGGCTGGGTCTCTGTTAACAAAAGCTCTAACTGCCATGAACCCAAGTATTGCTTTATAGACCAATTAATTTCTTATGATTTTATTTTTCAGTTTTCAAGAATTTGACCTTCAAGGATCAGACTCCTGCAGCTTTGATTGGTTAACGATAGGCCCATCTCAAAACTATGATGGCTCCCGGGCATGTGGGTCGACTGTACCACCACCTTACATCTCCTTGCAAGACCACGTATGGATCAGGTTCCACTCAGACAACCGTATTACTAAAAAGGGCTTTCGCCTATCCTTCTTTGCAGGTACACCTTCAAATATTTTATTCTGCAAAGAATAACATGCATACCATAGAACATCCTGTAAAATGCATCTAGATTCTGATATTATAGCTAAAAACAAATACATGTCTGAGCCATGTTATATGTACTTCCTTAATTCTACAAAGTGACTAGCAGCAAAACAGAAACTTTTTCAACAAGTTTTTTTGTTTAGTTTTTTGTTTTTAAACAAACGATTTGAATAAAAGTTGGACGTCAACTCCAACCAAGAGATTGCGTTGCTCTGTTATAGGAGAACTCCACTGCCCAGATACCCAATTAATAGAAATCACTATTTAGTAGATATACCCCAAATTCAAGCTTGCATACATTTAATTATGCATTTAAAAAAAAAAAAAAAAAATCTAAAAACAGTGATTTTTATTTATTTTGTATCTTGGCAGTGGAGTGCATAACACAATCTCTTGGTTGGAGTTGAGTTCTCTTGTCTGCAGCCTTACAAACCCTCCCCTTCTAACCCTGTCCAGACTTTCTGTGGCTGTCCTATCACCATAGGGGTGTGCCTAGGCACACCCTAATCCCTGCGGCACACGCTATGTGCCTCCTTCCGTGGGCCGATGAGGGAGATCAAAGATCTCCCTCACCGACCCGCAGGGAGGGAGGCAGGAGAGGACCCGGGGAGCTCTTGCCAGCAGCTCCGCTGGGTTCCTCTCGCGCGGTTACTGCAGCAACGCTCAGATCTCGCGAGAGTGAACTCTAGCCCCACAGGGGGCTAGAGTTCACTCTCCACTGGACCACCAGGGAAGGCAGGAGCACGGTCCCCCCTCCCTACATAAGGTAAGAAGGGAGGGGGGGGATATTAACTAAACGGCCCCCACACATTACACACATACATCACCCTTACACACACAGCACCCTCACACATACACACACAGCACACAGTAACAGCACCCTTACACACACACACAGCACCCTTACACACACACAGCACACACTAACAGCACCCTTACATACAGCATCCTTACACATACACACACACACAGCACCCTCACACACACACTAACAGCACCCACACACAGCGCCCACACACACACAGCACCCTCACACATACGCACACAGTAACAGCACCCTTACACACACACATCACACACTAACAGCACCCTTGCACACACACAGCACCCTTACACACACACACAGCACACACTAACAGCACCCTTACATACAGCATCCTTAGACATACACACACTAACATCACCCTTACACACACAGCACCCTCACACCCACACACTAACAGCACCCTTACACATACACACACACAGCGCCCGCACACACACATACAGCACCTACACACAGCACCCTCACACACACAGCAGTGTGTGTGTGTGTGTGTGTGTGTGTATATGTAATATATATATATATATATATATATATATATATATATATATATATAAAATTAATATTACGCGGCGTGTGTTTCTGCTTTAGGGTGCACACCCTTATACAAAAGGCTGCTCACGCCTATAACAGACATCCCCATGCTGCTCAATGAGAAAATTCTTTGCAAGGCAGGTGCTCTGAGCATTTGCTGCCTCTTGAGTTTAGCTCCACTGAGGTCACTAAACCAGGAAGTAACAGGACCTGTTGTCTGCTTGAAAGCCAATGTGGTATAACATGGTTAATTTATATAAGTGTCAATTTCTATTTTGCAAAATGAAAAAAAGAGGACACACTCTTCAAACATAAAGCTTTTTAGCAAAATAAAGTGCGTTCGGTGTCTGGAGTGTCCATTTAAGATACAGTATTAGCTCTGTACCAAAATGTTGCCACAGGGATTAGTAAATCATTAAATTAATAGCCGTTTAGCTACCACATTGTACAACTCAAATGTTATCATGTGATTTTTATTTATTTTCACAATTATTTTTACCCTAGTGAGCGGTTTTCTTTAGCTAAACTTGAACCTGTTCATATTTTTTTTTGGAATTGTGATAAATAATGCAAATAAATTGTGATAAATAATGCAAAAATCAGCATGCTCTTTATATATAGGTATTTTTATCAGTACTGCTATTCATTGGAATTCTTTTCTTAGGAACTAAAACTCTTGGTTTATTGCAATTTTTAATATTTTTATAACAAGCCACTTGGTATAGCTACTTTATACGTTAATAAATCAAGCGATTTTGCTTTTATTATACACACTTACATCACTGGCAGTGTGTTTTGTTAAAATATATATTGGGTCAAGGTCAAAAGTGTTGAGAAATGCTTATTTTTTTTAATTTTTTTTTTATATTTTACTTAGGAAAGACCAAATGTGCAAATGACCGGTTCCATTGTGAAAACGGAAAATGCATTTCCAATACATTGAAGTGTAATCATGTTGATGATTGTGGGGATGACTCTGATGAAAAGCTTTGCGCCAAAGTTAATCGGCCAACACTGGCTTCTTTTGAGCCCTGTACATACAACCAGTTCCAGTGTCTATCGCGTTTCACCAAAGCCTACACCTGCCTCCCTAACTCCTTGAAATGTGATGGGAATATAGACTGCTTGGACTTGGGTGATGAAATAGATTGTGACATGCCGACGTGTGGACAATCCCTTAAATATTTCTATGGTACATTCAGCTCTCCGAACTATCCCGATTTCTATCCTCCTGGTAGTAACTGCACATGGCTCATTGATACTGGTGACCGACGTAAAGTTATCCTGCGCTTTACAGATTTTAAGTTAGATGGTACAGGTTATGGGGACTATGTGAAAATATATGATGGACTGGAGGAAAATCCCCCTAAACTGCTACGGGTCTTGACAGCTTTTGATTCTCATACTCCACTTACAGTAGTGTCTTCATCTGGACAAATAAGAGTCCATTTTTGTGCTGATAAGGTTAATGCAGCCAGAGGTTTTAATGCAACATACCAAGTGGATGGCTTTTGCTTACCATGGGAGATCCCATGCGGTGGTAACTGGGGGTGTTACACGGAACAGCAGCGTTGTGATGGTTACTGGCACTGCCCAAACGGAAGAGATGAATTAAACTGCACCATGTGCCAAAAAGAGGAGTTCCCATGTAACCGGAATGGTGTCTGCTATCCCCGCTCAGACCGATGCAACTACCAAAACCATTGCCCAAATGGTTCAGATGAGAAGAATTGCTTTTTTTGCCAGCCAGGAAACTTTCACTGTAAAAATAACAGATGTGTGTTTGAAAGCTGGGTGTGTGACTCTCAGGATGATTGTGGAGATGGCAGTGATGAGGAAAACTGCCCTGTTATCGTACCTACAAGAGTCATTACCGCAGCAGTTATTGGGAGTCTCATTTGTGGACTATTACTGGTTATTGCTTTAGGATGCACTTGCAAACTTTACTCCCTTCGGATGTTTGAGCGAAGGTAAGTGGATGTATGTCATTTTGAGCACATTTCTGAATGTGAATTTAAAGCGTATTTGTGTTGCTTGTCAGAAAATTAAAAGCGTTCCTCTACCTCCTCTGTACAGTTATTATTGGCATTGCTGCTAGAGAAAATGATGTAAAGAACGCAAAGTCCTTTTTATTACACATGTGACTGCTGGATAAACTTGGTAAATTACTATTGGCAGTCCATCTATTGTAGACTACAATTCCTATGATTAGGGTAGTTGGCTACAACTTCCATGATTAACTAACCTTAGATCTGTGTAGGGTTCTTTGAAGTTTCAATTTAGTAACAATTAGAGATGCAACTTTTGAACAGTTTTAGATAAACTATAAGATAGAAATGTTGACACAGGTAGAGAAATTGATAAATTAAAAAAAGCATGAAACTAAATGATCACATTCATATCTATTAGAATTTATATAGCTAACCATGTTTTTTACAATTATAATGTAGGGTAATTGAAGAAGACCTTGCTCAAATGAGCTTCAGGGGTGTGGATTAAAAAAGTATATATCTACTTATCCTGACACAGAATTATTTAAATTAAACACATTGAGGTCCCTGCCAAGAGCCCTGGGGATTAATAGGGCTATTTGCTAAACTGAGTTTTCTGAAAATTCAGAAAGTAAAAAATGGAAGCAGAAATAGCAGATGTGGATAAAAAATTTTTCTAACTCTGCCATACTCACAACATACTGCCTAAGTGTTGCCGTTTGGATTCATTTTGCAAAAATGCAGAGTCTTATGAATTACGGAGTGTCTCACACACTGCTCTCCTATAGTCTAGTCCTTTTTTATACTGTGTGGGGTGTGTGCTCACTGTATGTGATGTGTTTGTGGTGTGTGCTGGCCGTTTGTGATTGTGATACACTAAAACACACATTCCTAGCTCTTCTCTGGGACACAGGAGTGCTGCAGCTTTAGCCACCGCAGCTCGGCTGGGGTCTCTCCGTCGCTTCCCGCCCTGGAACAGGTCCTGGGTATAGCTGTGAGTGATTATGCTCTCCTGCAGAGAGTAAAGCTGATCCACCCAAACACTAGCCCAGAGTACGTGAAGGGTGTAAAAGAACTGATTTATTATGGCCAAGTTGCCTGCTTCTATACACAACCACTAGCAGCAGGTCTCCCCACAATACAATGCAAGACAAGCCCCTCCCAAAGATCTCTGTGCCTGGGAGATAATTGCGTTATAGATCGGTAAGCTAATGATCTCCCAGGAACAGAGAGGCAAATATAAAACATAAAAATTCCCCAAAACATCATAAAAATATATAACCCCACAAAAAAAATAGGGATCGACCGATATTGATTTTTTTTATTATTTCTTATTTTAGAGCTGATACCGATAATCTGAACTTGCAGGCCGATAGCTAACCGATTATTCTGTACATTTACCGTATTTTTATTTTTTTGCAAATTTTTTTTTATTTTTATTAAGTGGTAAATGCACAAAATATACATGCCAGTCATATTTTATTTTCAAGAATATATGTGTGTGTGTAGTGGATGCAGTGAGCGTATTTGATAAGTAAATGCAATGTGTTGGTGTGTAAATATGTGTGGTATGACCCCTCCCCCCACCCCTTACCTGTCTTAGTGCCCCACATTCCCCTTAATGTTTCTCTCCATTCTCTTAGAGGTCCCCCCACTACCCCAGTGTTTCTTTTCCCTTCCATCCCCTGTACCTTAGTCTCCTCCCTTAATGTTCCTCTCTCCCACCTAGTGTTCTTTCCCCTGTCCCGTAGTGTTCTTTCCCCCCCTCCCCTGTCCCGTAGTGTTCTTTCCCTCCTGTCCCATAGTGTTCTTCCCCTCCTCCCCTGTCCCATAGTGTTCTTTCCCCTCCTCCACTGTCCCATAGTGTTCTTCCCCTCCTGTCCCATAGTGTTCTTTCCCACCCTCCTCTGTCCCATAGTGTTCTTCAAAACCCCGGACCAAGTTGGCTGGTGGTCATCTCATGCCGAAAAAAGTACTGCTGAGTACAATTCATGGGTTTCTTCATGCGAATGGCCGCCAGGGAGCTAGTGTTCGGTTCCATTCGAATGAAGGGAAAGTGCCGAACCAGGGGCACCCAGGGAAAGCTGCTAATGGCGGCTGGGGGAGATTTAACTCCCAAACAGGCTCTTTGTATATGGCCCATAGTCCTTGGGCAGGAGTCTAACTAGCAGGCTACTCCAGGAGCTCGTGGCATCGGCACGTTTGCCACACTCTGACACACACAGAACTGCTTACCAGTGGCTGATGTTCAGTGAATGTGCAGCCTTTCCCACGCTCTGTCCATTAACAGCGTGTTGACCGCCAGGATTACATAACACGGAGTCATGAGCATCATGTGGAGTGATTTGGCTGCTGCTGCTCTTCACACCTCCCTCTGCTAAAGACCTTGCCTCCATTTAGCCACCTGTTAGGTGTGCCAAAGGTTATGTATTACTTTGCTAATGAACTGTCCTGGTGATATTACTTCTGAAACATTAGTATAGCAATAAAGACTGAAGTAGAACTCCTTCAAATATTTGTATTATTATTTTACATACTTTAAATTCTAGAATCTGAGTTGTATTTCTTTTGTTGCAAGATTCTAAATGTATATAAAGTGTGTGTGTGTATATATATATATATTATAATTTTTTTTTAACTATTTCAGATCATTTGAAACACAGCTTTCAAGAGTAGAAGCCGATTTACTAAGACGCGAAGCCCCTCCTTCATATGGACAGTTGATTGCTCAAGGTTTAATTCCGCCAGTCGAAGACTTCCCAGTGTGCTCTCCAAACCAGGTAACCTCTTCTGAATTCTGTAGTAAAAAAAATTAGGGCCGCACTCTTATTACAAAGAAAGTATTAGAAAGTTAATAAAAGATTACATTTAATAATCCATACTAATATTATCCTTTGCTCTATATAACCTTTGTCTAACCATGTATCTTTAATTTTAATGGAAAATAATCACAGGAATCAATGGTTCTAAATATGTATATATATTTGCAATACCGTTTCACAGCAGTTAAAGGAACAATCCAGGCATCATAACAACTTTATGGTTGTTGTTGTTATGGTTACAGGAGGTCCCTGGTGCTTCCTTGTTGTTAACGTACGGTTTAACCCTAAAGTCTTTCTTTCCCTGTCCACATCTGCTTTCATAAAGGCTTCTAAAGAAAATTTGGAACTGCTGCTAGGTAGGATGTGGCTGATTGGCTTAGATTGGTCAGCTGACACTAAGCCAATCAGTAGCCCTCCATTCTTAAAAACTGCTTGAAAAAGGTATGTGCCTTTTTTCCATTTTTACAAATTGTTTAATCTCCTAAAGGTATGGATGCACTATAACAATTTTATTTTGATAGTTATGTTTCCCATAGTGTTCCTTTTAAGCATAATGATTTTTCCCATTATGTAAAGCACATGTAACTGGTAAGTGTAAGTCATTCTGTGTAGAATGTAAGTTTAAAATGGAGCCATGCCCTTACGGATAGTAACCACATCCTTGTATTCCTGTGTGAGTGTTTGTAGAAGATATCACAGGATCCTCCTTGGATCTTTTTGTGCATGCATGCAGAATGAGATACCTTAGATAAGATAACTGTGCTCATCAGCTGTCCCGACTGATGACTGATGGGAAATTGCAAAGTACGACAAGTAGAAGGTGTTTAGAACTGCTTTGTAATATTTTCCATAAATCTTTTGTTTACTTTTTGTACATTATGGTTGTGTTGAAATTTGTGTTTATATGTCACTAATTTGTAGTTTTGAATGATTCTATATTTAGCTACAAACTTTTCGATTTTCAGGTGTAAAACCTAAATTTTCGCTAATTTTGGCTTTAGTTAGAAATGATATGAGAATGTATTGAATTTTGCTCATTTTACCACTTGTTACCGACACAAATTCCCATGTGATATCTATTTAGGGAGCATGTTGCATTCTCATCATCAGAACCGATTGCAGATCTTAGTGTACCGTGAGTCAAAGTTTCTCCTATCTACCTTGAAAATATTTTCACTTCAGAATAGACATAGGTTCTTCATGCTCCAGTCTTGAAGACACCTGGTTTAGATCATGAACCTCATCTTTAGGTTTTTGTTGCTTAAAGGTTGGCAAAATATAATTTTAATATTGAGCTTTTTTCCCTCTTCTGAGTGTTGTCTTATTTAATTCACTCATTATTTTAGCAATGTGTATACATTATTAATGTGCGATTGTTTTATATTCCTAGGCTTCTGTTTTGGAAAACCTGAGGCTTGCCGTCCGTTCACAACTGGGATTTACATCAATTAGGCTTCCCATAACTGGCAGATCAAGTAACATTTGGAATAGAATCTTCAATTATGTACGATCACGTAATTCAGGCTCATTGGCCTTGGTCTCAACTGATGGAGAAAATACTGCTAACCAGAACTTAAGCAGAGAAACTGAAAGGAATAGTACACACAGAGGTCTCTTCTCCGTCGAATCTGATGAAACAGACACTGAACATGAAAGGAGAGATGCACAAGGAGCAGTAGGTGGAATTGCTGCTTCTTTGCCCCAAAAAACTCCCCCAGTGTGTGCGGTCGAAGCCACAGTTAGTGGGGGCACTGCTACTCAGACATCAAACACCAGCACACCAGATAATAGGAGGGAGATTCCAGCTTCAGAACCTTCTGTCCCAAGTCCTGCACGACAGCAATTCAGTAGTGCTCTAAGTAGAATGACTCAAGGATTACGTTGGGTACGAATTACTCTTGGTAGGTCAAGCTCTGCAGGCCAAAACCAGAGTCCACTGAGACAGCTTGACAGCAGTGGAAGCAGACGAGAAGATGACGATGATGTTGAAATGCTTATACCTGCATTAGACTTTGACCTAAATGACTGTACTAGACCCTTACTAGACCTTGCTTCTGACCCGGATCCAGGCTTAACACAGCCTTTTAATGCAGGACATCAGGGAACAAGGTCATGCAGCCGTGATGGTCCATGTGAGTGCTGTGGTATTGTGCACACCGCTCAGATCCCTGACACCTGTCTGGAAGCAGTGCTGAAGAACGAGACAAGTGATGATGAGGCATTGCTACTCTGTTAGAGGCAAATTATGGTGATAGTGGTGATATCACTATTTTGGAGCAATATATAATCACTGTTTTTGTACTTCGCAGAAACCAATTATCAACCATTTGAGGGCCAGAGGATTGAGTAGGACAGAGCTTTGTTGCATTCTGCTCTGACCTCCTGCCACTCAAATGGGTATTGCTTGGAATATTCAAGTGGAATAACAAAAACATTCTTAGTGGGCTTAAAATTCTCTGTGGGTACTTCTGGTTGTCCCATTGGCTGTTTTGTACCCAACATTTGCATACAACTGTAGAGGATACCTTACTTGGGGTACAACAGTTTATGCCGGTACAGAATTAGAATAATGTTTACACTCTAGAAATCTAGTTGTGTATAAATATATGGCTCTGTGAGCGTCTGTTGCACGAACACAACTTACATACAAAAAAATTTGAGTCTAATAACAATGTCACAAGTACCATACAGCTTGTTCAAAGCATCCAATGTTTGCACAAATCACATCTGAGTGAACCTAGGTTTGTTGTGTTATATATATATATATTTATATATAGTATAAAGAAAAAAATACCTTTTCCCTCTGTTTTTAACCAAAGGGAAATGGTATCATGCTCTGGCCACCATGTTCAAGTTTTTTGTTTTTTTTCTTATTAATTTTGTTAAACCTTTCTGGATTTAATTTGTAATACTTTTTTTTTGTTTTTGTTTTTCACGGTACAATCCCTCCCCTCCCTCCCCACCATCTGCCTTGTAACTCTACAGAGGATGAGCTTGTTACATCATGCTTTGATGGACCTATTGTAGGTATGGCAAAACTACATAACCCATAATGCTCTGCCCCTCCCTGATGTAAATCTTTCCTTGCTGAAGGGATGTTCACTGCTTTGTAAACTCGTTTTATTTATAACACCCTTCATGGCAAGGGGTAGGCAAATCTCATTAAATCAAATGGTTGGACATAAACTGGTTGTGACCCAATGGCCATTAGCTGCAGAGTCCATACATTTCACTGTATTAAACTGTCGAATTAA